AATCGGTACCTAGGTTAATCTCCTCTTCTCTCTCTCTCTCTCTCTCTCTCTCTCTCTCTCTCTCTTTCTTTTTTCGTTTTTCTTTTTTAAGGCCATGTTCTTTTTGATCGGATCAGCCGTCTATGGCCGTTCGAGCGATGACAATTGGCGCTTGGTATACAATTCGCTTGTGGTATCGGTGCTTCGTCGATCAGCGTGATTGCGCGAGACGGATACACTTCGTCGTAGAAAAAATCGTTTCGATCGAAGCGCGTTTTACGGGTAATAGATCGGTTATAAAATAAATCGATCTCCTTGTAAGAAATTGATCTCCGCTTATCCTTGTAGAGAGACACGAAAAAGGTGTGTCGGTATCAAAAAGACGGTCGATAGTATATTTATATATGTATATATATATATATATATATATGTATATAAAAAAAAGAAGAGAACAAAGAAGAAATTTGCGTTCTAATTTGAAAAAAAAAAAACATGATCGTATGAGAGACATCCGATGCTATATGATGAATTCGGACCTCGTAATTGACTAGACTGTGGCTTCGATCAGCTTGGGGCTTATGCGACGAAACGGGCAGCTTCACACGCGCGCGGATGGACACAAGCGTCCACAGATGTGCAGGGACTTAGCACCGAAATTAATTTAGTACTGTTAATATTCGATCGAGGACATTTGTAGGTCATTGTGTCGTGTGTTATTGAAATTGTTTCAAGCTACAATGCTAAGTCAAAAGTACACGATTGCTATTTAAAAAGAAACTAACCTACCAACGATCTTGAACGTTTTGTTCGGTAACTCCTCGAAATTATTAAATATACTCTTCCTAATGACTCCGCCCTGCGTACTACAGGAAAATCGTACTACTCGCATATACCACTAAATATTTTTCGTTCTAATTAAATTAATTCCACCTGATAAGCGGGGTGTTCAGAGCACGCTGGCTTAACTTGGTTCCGATCGGCAACCACTGTTTTCCAGGTACAGAAAACCCGTCGCTCGTCCCTGACGTTATACCCACGTGCTCTGAATCATACACAAGTATTACGGTCATTCGGGCGTACAAACGAGAAAAAAGGGAACAGTCTGTAAAAGATATCGGCGCAAGCCCCTGCAGAGACGTCCGTCGGAATCGCGAATGGAAACTCGGCGAAAAAAAAAATAAAATAAGATCCAATCGGATGTGACGATGGAAAAGATCGAGACCTGGAAAACGCAGGAGCGATCATGCTTCTAAAGCTCCGGGTTCCGTCTTCTCTCTTTCTCTCCCTTTCTCTTTCTCTCTCGACGCAGCATTCGATAAACTTAAAGAAAAAACATTGATCGATCCGTGTGTATATGCTTATCTATATACAACGCGACAGTCATGTGTGTGTGTGTGTATGTGTGTATGTGTGTATGTGTACGGTACGTAAAATCTACAAAAAGAAAACAGTAAGAAGACAGTATATGTACAGTCATTGGCAGAATTGTTCCCGATCCGAGCGACTCGAGGCGAACTGCCGACAGCGGATACACCGCGCGCGTCGTATCGCTCGCGGCCTCCTTTTCCCCTCCCCCTCCCCACCTCTCTCTTTCTTTTCTTTTTTTTTTGTCGTCTTATTTTTTCTTCTCCTTTTCACCTCGCTTCGAACGTGGACTCACGGCTCCCGTAGTCCGTCTCGCTCCTCGTAAGTCGCATTGTTCGCCGGAACACGGCCGATATAGCGAGTATAGTAGCCTCCTGTACAGTGGATCGCGAAAGTATTCTAACGCTGAAACAGGGAGTGGGGGGGCGTCAACATTTTAATGAAAACTGGTGGTCGCTGTGGTTCAGCTGCGGCCAACATTTTCGTTATATTTTATGGAAATCTGACTGATGTACCTTCAAGGAGGCTAACTCGGCTTCCGTTAGGGGAGAAAGCGGCGTAGGGGAAGAGCCACTTGGTCTCGGGAGTTACTGAAATTTATGCCAAATTAACATTCGGGTTAACACTGATTTCAGTACTTGAACATAAATTTACCAAGTGGTAGGAGACCTTCCTCTTACGCCACATTTTTCCCTAGCGGAAGGACCACTTGGTCTCGGGAGTTACTGAAATTTATGCCAAATTAATATTCGGTTTAACATTTATTTCAGTAACTGAAATAAATTTACTAAGTGGTAGGAGGCCCCATACGTCACTGTTCCCCATAGCAGAAACCGAGTTTGCTTGTCTGGGTACCCGAACATGCGACCTTAATGATCGGTTCCATACTGGGCATGGACTCTTTTAAGTACGATCGGTTCTAGATTTCTTTGGGCTCAACGTGACACGATGATTTTAACAAGGAACTCATTGTCTTTGAGAAAAAGATTGTTAATGATTTGATCAATTGAGCGTTACCCTACTTTTCTTTTTCTATTATGTAGGGTGGTCACAGGCAAAAAGACGTCAGCTTCGAGTCTCATTAAGAATTCTTTAAGGAGATGGTATTGATGCCATGACTACCAAATAGGGTTGACACAACTCGGTCTAAATTTAAAAAAATCATTCTTCTAACTTTTATAAAAGGACAGAATTTCGGGCGACTAATTAAAGCCCAAATATTGATAAATCATAACTGATCCAACATATTAACAATCTTCTTTGCAAGGAAAGTGCTTTCACTTCCGATATCCGATTCCTTCTCGAATAGTTCATCAGCTGATCAAGTAGAGTCCATCGAATGAACAAATTTTCCCGGTATTATTTTCGTCTTTCAGCTTAAAAATGTCGGAGCACTTTTGCGAGTCACTGTAGTTTCTCCATATTTTGGTGAAGACAAGGTGGTTTTTCTACGCGTTAGAGAGCATTGGTGTACAATGAGATACCTACACATCGTGGAGGTCTTTTACGTCGATATAAATAAGACTCTCGCGTCATAACGCAAATGCGCGAGCACGGAACAATAAACGAAAGAAGAATGGTCGTCGAGTGGCCTAATATCTTCGCCTATATTACTCTATCCCCATGCTCTCCGTTTCTCAGTCGTTCTTCGCATTATATCCGGACACTCGATCTCGTCCACACACGGAACGCACACACACACACACACACACATACATACACACACGTACACTCATATGCACACGCGCGCCTCTTCTATCTTTCTCTCGCGTCAGCAGCAAAACCGCAAATTATTAACATATTGAGTTTCACCGAGAGGGGGGACACGACAGCAAAAACGACGTACACGAGAGCAGCGACGTACGAATTCGTCGTTCCTACTGAAATGGGCAGCTACGGACCCGTGGCCCACGGGGGATCATGGTACCCCTCGGGCTGGATCGAGACGAACGGATCCCCCTGGTTGTCACCATCGGTAACGCGACACTAGTGCCGCCATTTTGGAATTACTGGGATCGATACTAGGGATGTTCGATTCCGATTCTTCGGAAGATCGGTTCCCTTCGGTAATCAAACACTGTCATCTATGTATAACACATCCACTAACGGCCAAAAGTATGGGACCAGAGTTTACGATTGATGGGAACAGTAACTCATTATTTTGTTACGATAAAATAAAAGTTGTGGAATCGGTACATATACAAATCACTTCCCATTAGTTTAACCACATGTTACCTTCAGTAATTCTTTGTAGAATAATATTTTCCTGTTTCTTTGATTTCCTCCTCTTTGATTTATCAGACCTGGTCCCATACTTTTGACTGTTAATGTATGTATTGTTACCAAAGGCAACCGATCTTCCGAAGAATCGGAACGGAATCGAACATCTCCTAACAGAGACCCGATCGGGGCCGCCGGTTCTCAACATGTTAAACGTTCGCGTAATTATAATGGTGCACCTGAGAGCCAGACTAGCATAATAAGCCACGTAAACTGCAACTTCACAGACACATCGTACTTGCTATTACGACATTAATACTGAAACGAGTCGACACAGTTTTAAGGGGGGGGGGGGGGGGGGGGGATGGGGCGAATTTCACTTCGGACGTCTCCGTGCAGGGGTCCCTCCGTTCGTCCTGATCGCGACAGATATCTCCATTGTTTCTTCTGACCGGAACGAATATCGTTCTTCTGAGAATGAATTCATCTTTAAGGTCGATCAGGCTTTCATAGATGGATATTCGTACACTACTGATTAAGGTGGAAATCTCTGAATATTCTACGAGTATACACCTGTCTTTATAGATTTTTATCATTCTATTTTATCAAAATTGAATATGTCGAATTGTTATCGAGCAACGTAACTTGAAAGCCAACAGAGACTCACTCTATTTTCAAAATCTATGTGCATAGCACCTATACACATTTATATCTGTGTAAAACCAGAATGTTATTTCTGAATTTATATCCCACCAGTCAGTTGTTACCGGCCTGTCTTTTTGTTATTAAATCATTGTTCAGAAAAGGACGAAGTCCTAATTAAGGAAGAGTTCCGTAATTTTGATTGACCGGAGCACACGATTCTTCAGCGTCGCACCAGTGATCCAGAATCAAAATTTAGCAGTTCGAAAACAAATTTCAGTAGCTCACGAACAAATTTGCTGTATTTTCCGAAACACTCACATCGAGTTATTAACTATGGAAGCTTTCTCCAATGCGGTTATTGTTTTCCTCAGGCCAAACAATAACAAAAATTCTCTAAAAATTCATACTTTCAAAACTGCTACAAAACCTCTTCGAACTCATCCAGTTCTACTTACTAAAAAAATTCCGAATTTCAAAATTCCCGAATCGCTCGAGCTAAATAACCGCGTACAATCCGTTACATTCGAATCTGGACCACTAATGGCATCGGTGAAAGAGTTACACTCACACTCTTCACGGCGTAGAAACAAGAGGATGATATTCGGCGCGCAGAGTCAGAGGGGACCGTCCTGCGGAGGACAGACCGTGTATGCAGATATGTTCCTCTAGCCGTCTGAAAACTTACGCGTACACACAGTCAACCATTGCCGAACAGTGGACTTACGACACTCTGACTGTCAGGTACAGAATGTTCTAACGTAACGTGTCGCACTTTGTAGCCTCTCGCGGCGGGTTTTACGGCCCCTCGAAGGGTGGGGGGACCGGCCAGGCCCGCCCGTGAGCGAGCTGAACCGGCCCCCGTTGGGCCCAAGGGGGCTTGAAGGTTTAACTGAAAACGGGTGATGGGTAGAAGCGCTGGTCTACCACCCCGTGATTCGTATATAGCGAACATATCGGGACGATGAGGCCCTTCCCCCACCACCCCCCCCCCATCCCTTCGTCCCGAAGTTATATCGTCGTAGTTGGGTATCGTCGTCCAGGTGGACGCGGAAACGGGTCGCGTGAAGCAGCAGCAGCAGCAGCACCTTTCGGTAGGCCGACCTGGAGGAATGCTGGTATTTGGACCCCGTCTAATTGCAGACGTGTTCCTCCCGCGTGTGCCGACATAGCTCGCACTTCACGTGGCAACACCAGACGAATCGACAGCCGCACTCCTCGGTCACGTCCCGTACCCGTGTCTGGTAGCCCCGACCGCAGCATAGGAGTCGACATCCGTCCAGACCGAGGGACGTCCGGTTGCATATCCTTCCCCTCGTGCCGGGGATACCGAGCCTGGAAGCGAGAAGAACGGTGGGTACAGTAAATTCTTGGTGAGTGCTCGAAGGTTCATCGGCACTGACGAGGAGAGGAGCTCAGGTGTAATGCTGATATTTTTAATGAGGTTCAACAGAGTTACTGACTTCGGAATTTTTGAAGGTAGTGATAGTTTGTTTCAGTCATATGTGGTCATTTGTTTATAAAATATTTAATGTTCAGTGCCGAAGAGAGATGATTTACAGTAATCGTAAGTAGGAATGGGATCGATATTATTGACGATATTCAATCGATTCGGTACCAAAATCGGTAGTATCGATGTTTTTGGTGTTTGGTATAAATTATCGATACCGGATTCTCCTTGAATAGGTACCACACCAATACCGAATCGAATTTCGTTTGATACGTCACGATGGTATCGATACTTTTTCATACCAGTACGAAAGTATCGATACATTTCGGCAGAAAAGAATATTGGAAACAGAAGTGCGTGAGAATGGGAAACAGAAATGTGTTGGACCGCTGAACTTTATCAAGAGGAGTTTGAGGTTCGAGAGAGGGATCGAACCGAACAGCCTGTACAGAATAACTGGTAAACAATGTGGATTGTCTCACGTGGTATTTCGTTCGCAGTAGTCGGGACTGTCCTCGAGATACACCAGGTCGGTCTTGTTCGGACGTTTCAGATCCGGACGAGCTGGCCTGAGCCTCGCTGGTCTTCTTCCGCCGCGTTGGGCCAGTCGAACCAGAGCCGCGCCTTCGTGCAACGCCGCCAGGGCAGCTCCGGCCACCCTGAACGCTGGCAGTCTTCTCCAGCAAACGCGTACGCTGCACGAGCCCGACATACCTACCGCGTGATAAAATTGCACTCTGGTTAATATGTGTGATGCTCGTCCAAGTGGAACGAACGAACGTGTTGGATCCGTTAAAGATCAATCGAGGTTCGTAGGATGCGACCACAGATAAGCCTGGGCCTATGAAGACCGACAGTGGGTTATAGGAAGTGACCATAAACTCGTGGGATCCGGAAAATATCGACTATGGGCTGCAAGAGATGCTCGGAGACTCGTGGTGTGCGATAACCATCGATTCAGGGTCATGGGGTCCGTACCGGAAACAGGTTGGGTCCAATGGACAGCGACCATGTAGGATAGAATTCCAGTCGCTTGGGTTCTGATAAACATTGACTCTGGGTCAAAAGAGATAACCTCAGGCTAGAATCGATCGCAAAATGTGAATTCAGACTTGTAGGGTCCTAAAAGGAGTCGTAGGAGGATGAAGGAGTCTGCTGAGTCTATAGGATCTTCGATGGTAGCTAACGTCTTGAGATGTTTCAGGATGATCAGGGGTCTCAAGAAATTTTAGGGTAATCAGTGTGCCACATTGGCTATGAGGATACTAGAGGCCTCAGGTGTACTAGAAGTATTCGCAATTTCTAGGGGCATCAGGTAGTCTCAAGGGTTTTATTCTTCTTGAGATCACTAAGTCCCTTTGAATCCCAAGATACTCGAGACCCTTCAGTCCATCCAAGATCTTTAGGGTCTTTGGAATCTCCTAATATCTCTACTATCCCTGAGATCACGAGAAATCAGTGAACCTTACTGAGACTATCGAGTCTCAATTCTTTGGTACGCCTTAGAAACAAAATCCTGTCAAAAAACTTCGTGATTGTCAAAATCCTGCCTCCTGGATTCCCAAACGAACAAAAAAATAAGAGCACACTATCTCTTCGCTGATTACAGGAACGAATAATACCCTTTTTTTTTTATGAAGTTACTTAGTGTCCAAGATACACATAGATCCCCTTGGATCCATCCATAGATCCTATGTCTGCTCATCGGGGCAAGGGGTGATCAAGGGGGGGGGGGGTGTGGCCTAGGTGAAATCCCAAGAGTCGTTAGGCGAGCACAGAGTGAAAAATAAGAGCGCAGATAGCGGATGGACCGTGTTATCTTGCGGGACGCATTAATGGCTCACCGTGACACTTGCACACGCGTTGCATTCTCGAGCGGACGGCCCGCCTGCCAGCTTCGCTATCGTGCTTCCTCATCAGCTGGCCAGCCAGCCCTTTCGGCCCGTGCAGGACACCGTCTTTCACCGGCTCCTCGCCGCCGTCGGACCACTCTCGCGAAAACTTCTCCCCGAAGTGTATGTCCTGCGCAAGAGGGAACAGAAAAAAAAAAAAGAGGAAGGCATCCCCTCGGTGATTCCGAACCGACGAACGGAGAAGAAACACCGTGAGATTGGTGGGACAGTTCTCACGGTGCGTTCGAGCGGGACCGATATAAATGGTACCGCGGAGTGTTGTCTACGTTGGTGGCCGATTGGAATTTTATTCCGGTTTCTCTGTAATCCCGTGAAACCTCGATAAAGTTTGGTTAATTCTTGATTGTGGTAATAATATTTTGTAGGACGATTTGTAACTTGTAAGTTTTAAGAACGCCTTTTGTGACTATGGTTTTTTATGATGTGTTTATATATTTTAGATTTTAATCCTAAGTATAGCTTTGTCTGCATCCTTGACTGCATCCCGATATTTATTACTCATGTATACCAGAAAAATTTGTCCACTATCAAATGATCATGGGTTCAGTAGCTTTTGTCTGATTTCCGAAGTTACAGAAGACGCAAGAAATGACAGTGTCCCGCTCGAAAATTCATTATCTATATAAAATTCACAGCCTAAATTGCTGTACCTAAAAACATGAAATTTTGAGGATAGTTTCCTTCTAGAATCTGGATATCCCCTAATAAAGGATTTTCCTAAATTCAACCCCTAAAGGGATGGAAAGGTGCAAAATAAATTTTCTGGGAATCTTCACTACCTTCCAGTCTCTACAAAATATCCCACTGCTTTTTACTTTATAATGCTACTAACAGAAATCCCTAAAATTGACTTCAGGATTTTTTGAAACTTCACCACCAGTGTGTGATGTTTCAATACCGAGCACGGGTATTTTGCTAGTTACCAAATAAAGTGGTAAAGAGAATGGATCAAAGATCCACACAGAATACACAGATACCACCGTGATTCGAAACAAGAAAAGAAAAATCGTATAAGAAATAGAAAGCAAAATAAGGAAAGATTGAAGGGGACCCAAGATGGGATCGTGAGAAAAGACAACAGAGGTGTCTTCGAGTGGGCAGAGGGAGCAGGGAGAAGAGAAGAAAACGCAAAAAGTGATGAGGATAATCGGGGACACGTGCTCGGAGGAAGTCACGTGGAAAGTGTCGGGAAAGTGGCGTGTATCACCTTCGGGATTACGGTCGGAGCAACGGGCGTCCGCCATTTTTGCGGTTCCAAGCTGCAGGACCAGTTCCGGAGCCACCCGTGACACCTTAACGAGGGGAGGATCCCACGGGACAAATGTCTCGGTCGGGTCCGCTGACAGATTTTCGAGATAATGATGTTTGCTGACTCTCTTTTTCTCTCTCTTTCTCTCCTGCACCCGTTGTCCCGGGCCAGGTTTAACGAATGGAAGTCCCGTAACGCTCGTCGATAAGTCTACATACACCGTCGTCCACCTTGGACGGGGGAGATCGGTTACACGCACGGTGATGGATTCGAGCTGACGATGCGAACGATTGGGGAACAGGATGAACGAACCTTTAGGTTCTCGGAGATGTAGGGAAGAATCGTGGCTAGGACATGCACGGAGATTATGTGGGTATTTCGAGGCACCTGTGGTTCTCGTATTTTTCTTCGAATTTCGTGTTAGGGACAGGATTCATTTATTAACAATTTTTGTTGGGTAGTAAATTATTACTAAATGTATCCTTTGATACTATTATTACTATATATTACTATGCACAGAATATTTCAGAATTGTATGTAGGTGGATTTTTGATCGGTTAGTGGGACAGGAAGAGGAATGAAAGTTTTAATTCATAGATTGGTGGATTATAATTACTGGATCGTGGATGTTTATGCGAATGTAGAATTTCATGGATTAATTTTTCGAAACTGGTAAAGGCTTTATTAATCACGAAATAGAAACGTGAACCGAATAAACTTTCAGGAATTTGATTTTAATATTCACCGTACTTAAATCCCACGCCTACTTATTGCGTATTTAGCATTTCTTAGAAACGAATCACTTGAAAATTTGAAATAATTTCATCCAAAGGATGCAAACGCGAAGACTAAATATGGAGAACAGTACGGTTAAAATGGCCGATCTGTAATCGTAAAATTTCTACCAGACTATGAACTCTATTAGAAATCTTATCACTTATATTTTGCGATATAAAATATAGAATTTTTCTAGCATTCGAATAATTTATGTGCGGTATTCAGTGTCTTCTCACAGTGATGTTCACCGAAACAATATCTTCGACGTGGATCATCTGACAAGTAGATCTATCGTCTCACGTGTGAAGAACCAGAAAGGTACGAGAAAATTTGAACTTCTCAAACATTAAAAATACCGTGGTAGAAGGGTCGTTTCTCCGACGAGCCCCTCCGATTTTCTTCGCCCTAGCCGTTTACCCTCGCTTTATAGATCCCTTTCCTACGGGCCATAGAGAAAGTGGCGCGCGCGCGTATTTACGTCTTCGTGTGCATCGTTCACGTGCGAGTTACGTGGGCCGATACTCCACGTGGGGGATGAGGAGGGGGAGGGGGCAGGCGGTGGGCGGGAGGTTGTTGCAACTTAACAAGCTTAGCCCCCGTAATCCCCTTGTAAGCCAGCAATGTCTACAAGGGGTCAGCCGTACGCATGAAATGCATCCGTTTACAGGACGAGCTTTGTCTTCGTCCAGGGTTAAGGTTTACGTCGACCGACCGTCGAGAGATCGAGACGACAAATTGGGGGGGTTGCCCGTGGCGGGGCGGTGCTTCCCCCGTTCCGCTTAACGGGGGTAACGTAGACACGGGACAAAGTACAGCATCTTCGGGACGTTTCAGTTACCATTTTTCGGTTCGCCTGAAAATGCTGTGACCTATCACGTTTAAAATAGTTATACTGAAACATTTTTACCGAAGAAAAAAAAACTCTCCCATTCGTTTTCTGATTTTTGCACAATAGGAGAGATTATTATTTAATCAGTATTTAATAGTAATATTTATTAGTATTCAATTGGAAAATGTTGTAATGTGTATTTGTATTTGACCATTATTGTGTACTGGTCTTTGATGAAATTAGGAAAATATTTATATGTGAAGATATAGAGTCCAAAGTTCATACATCTCGATTAGATTTCTTTTTAGTAAAGTTTGAAATAATCTAATTTTTTTTATTTAATTCTCGTGTTTCAATGGCCAGGTTTACATATGTATGTATTGTGGGATTTCGTTATGAGTCACGATTCAGTCGATCCACAGGCATTAACGTATCTCGAGGGTGATGGGGTTAATTAATGACCGAGGAAAGACAGCACTAAATATTTCTTCCATTCCTTTTTCTTTTTTTCCGTTTCAGAACAGCAGAAATACCGTGGAAAATTCTGGGCATTTTGTCATAGAGGGCGGATCACCCCCGTGATTTCCGCTGCTAATGGACCAATCTAAACGTTTTTTTTTCCAGTGTGGCTGATACGGTTTAGAGCAAGCTAGAATCTACATTCTTACAGTAGGTCGTTTTTCTTCGGGGTTCTGAGGTGAACCTCAGGTTCACCAAATGGAATCCTATAATTTCTTGATTCGTTTCAGTATTCATACGGAAATTCCATTTGAGAAACTTGATGGTAATTCAACCCTCTATGACGTATAATTCTCCTCTTGCCTATGAGAAAAGTCACAATGCCAGTGGTCACCCAGTAACAATTGACAAAACACTGCGTTCTACAATCTTTTGACAAAAAAAAAATATGTTAATCCACCTGTACATTGTCGCCAAGATTCAGAATCACAAAAATAATTATTAACAACAATGTACGCTCCAATAATATCGAGATGCTTGTCAAGTTTCTGCAGACAAAGTTACGAATTTCTTTAGTAACAGAAACAGTTTTACAACACGCTAACCTTAAATTTTTACTCATGAACCCTCGATTTTCTACTTACAAATTACATATATATCCAATAATTATTATTATCAACACGTTGGTTGCCATACTAACAAGGGCTGTACGTACTCGGATACCTTTTATTTCGTTTTTTGTCATAAATCGTCGAAAATATATCCGTTTAGTTAATTAACGGCTGTTGGTCTTGCTTTAAATTACACTGCGATATTAACTCAGCGTGGTCCGCCATCTTGGATAACCCAATAACTACGCAAACAGTCCCCAAACGTCTTACAACACGAAAACGAAAAATTACGTACGCGGAGTCGAAGGAACGAGCTCGTTGAAATGCAGAAGGAGTACGTACAGATCAAATGACAAGCTTGTCGGGGCTAGTATGAACAGCTTCTGAGAACTAGGTACCAGTTTGTTCGCTGTATCGGCGAGGGGTTGGGTCCCCTTAACTCGCGTGGCGAAAGGATACTGTTACGCCGCTCCTCCGGCAAGTTTCGCAACCCCCCAGTCGGGAAAAAGGGTGAAAACAATCGTCGTTTGTCGGCGAAACGGAATTTCATTAACCACGCGAAGCTGCGATCCGACGACGGATTGATTTACGATCGACGCGACAAAGAAATCGATCAAGAAGATTCGTGGCTTCCGGTTACGCCGCGGATAATCAACTGCGCGCCCTCTCTGCTCCACCCCTGCGAAACTGAAAGCGCTTGGGGGTTGGAGTTCCGTCGGTAATTGACCCGTCTGCCAGTTTTAATTAACGGAACACGGTTGCGCGGGAAACCGAAGAATCCACGACTGAAATGTGTATATCAGATTCGCGGAGGAATTGCAGGGCTTTGGAAAATTTCATCGTAGATATTTCTATGACTTTCAACATTTTCTCAGATTGTAGTGGAATTTACTTTACTATTCGGAACACGATGCGAACATAATAATTGTAGTCTCTCGTGCTAACCCCCTTGCACTCCGAGACTCTTATTCTTAACGACTAGTGATTGTAAGATTGAGCGCAACTGTTTCTGATAAACTTTTCCTAATTATTGAAATAAAATTGACATTTTTATAGGTAATTTGGTCATACAGAAGTGACAGTTTAACCCGAACAAGCTTGCGAGTCACTGCAGGGTAAATATCCCAATTATATACTTCGAGTGTCCCAAATATTACCACTCTATAAGAAGTATAAAGAATTGCGCATAAAAAGCTTTTTTTTTTGTTAAATTTGGGACTCTAATATCCACAAAAACAAATAGTAGACTTTTCCGAAAAAATTTTCATTTCCAGATTGAAAAGAATGGAAAGTCACCAGAAAATCCACGATGCACCAACTGTCACATTTAAAAAGCTTAAGTTTGTTTACCCGTGTAAGAAGACGGATTAATTCGATCACGTAAAAAGGAGAAACGCGATCAATTAACGGACAAGTGAACGTGGCGCGCGGAGGAGCGTAAGTAAGCCCGTCTCGTGGAGCGAAGTAATCCTAATTTACGAGGGCAGTTAGTCGCGTCTTACTTTTCAAAGGACAACGGTGTACAAATAATAGGAACGTGGAGGGGGGGTTGGTACGGAGTTGGTGGGTGGATAATGGTAGCGGTGAAATTACCTCGCTGCAGCCGCCCCATTCCCAATTATTCGGCCGGCGTGTTCTGACCCGGTTGTCGCAGGAGCAATCGGTGAGCTCGCCCCTGGAACAGGCCCTGGTGACGCTGTAAGCGACCCCAGCCGCTGATATTGCATACACGAACGCTGCCTCGCGACTGTCTGCGAACATGCACCAAGAATTTTTTCGCTGCCACGGCGGAAAAACGAAGCTTTTCCATTTTCTTCGGTCGCGCCACCCCTTCCCCTCTAACGGCGCGACCGTGATTACGAAACTCCCTCTTTCTCTCTCAGAGTACTTTCTAGGGTATTAGTTTTAATTAAAATTATGTTCGACTCGCTGCTGGCGAGCAGGGGCCTCTTGACCGATCCCTGATAACGTGGATAAGTTTATTTGAAATTTTCGTTGGAAAATACGAGGTTTTCAGAAATTTGTTGTTTTCTCTTTGCTGGGTTGGTGTTGTGAATTTTGTTTACTGTTCAACTTTCCGCGGTGGTCTGGAAGATATTACTACTTTGCTGGTTCTTAATTTTGAACTGGTGAGGTGGAAATATTATTAGTTGTTACTGAGCTGCGGTTTTAGTGCATTGATAGTATCTATAAGTAGACTGCAGAAGTTTATAGGAATTCTTAGTATTAGATGCAAATATATGAAAATCAATATAGGACAGAATTTCAAAGAAAAATATCCGCAGTGTACCTATACTACTTGATGCTACTAGTTATTCCCTACATAAAGTGACGTATCGCGAATTAGTGTATTAAAAAATATAAGATTCCATTAAAAAAAAAAAAAGTTCACCTTCATGTGACCTGTACGCGTCCACATAGAAAAAAGTTACATTAAAAAGTGTGTGCCCTGACACCATTTAACTTTTGTCTGAAACATTTTTTAATATCGTCAATAGTTTCGGAGATATTCGAGTAGGTCGATTTAAATGGGACACCTTGTATAAACATACACTAAAGTTGACGTTAAAAAACAACAAAAATTCAACAAGTATGGAAGAAGTTATATTCCCACGGGATCCCCGCCGATTGTACACTATCGACTCCTGTTCTCCAATGATCCGCCGCGTCATCAAGGATTTTCTCACCTGCAGCTTGTCGAGGATTCGTGGAGGCGGTTGAATGTCTACTTACTGACTAGCATCACGCCACCGAACACGTTCTCCGGATTTTCCGGGCTGATGGAACAATTCCATCTGGCTGATCTAAACTGGTGCTGACACTCCTCTATGGCCAATCTCGCGCCCGCGCTGACTGCCTGAAAGTAAAGACCGTGAAAGCCGCGAATGGAAAGGCGAATTGAGCGGCCGGGAGGGGGAGGGGGGAAACCTGGGTACGGAGAACGATTTACCGTCGCTGTTAACGCGTTCCCCGTCAGATCAATATTTGCAAAAAAGTTTGTACACTGTCGAGACCTTTTTCCTTGTTATGACAAGACTTTGATCGATTGGCATGAGAGGTTCGGATCTGTTAGGAATCAGAACCATGTAACGTTAGGATTACGTATTTGTATTATGAAAATTATACAGTGTGTACCACGAAACGTGATCAATTTAGATTATTCTACTGGCATCTGTTCGATTGAAATTTTTTGCTAGTATTAATACACGATTCAAGGAGAGCGCTGAGATGATTGTACCGAATTTTTGGTCAACCATTTTTTCTAGAGTTTTCAAGGTTACCTTCAGGATTTTATCGATATTATTTTTTTTTATGAATTGAGCAAACATCATAACAAATATTTTTTCTTTTAATTCAAAGAAACATTATGAAAATATCATTCACCTTAATTAAAACGATTATCAAAATGGTGTCTATTAGCTGCAGTACTGTTTAGTTCTATTTATGACGTCTGCGCTGATGGTTGAATGTAATGTACAAGTGGAATAATCTAAGCTGATCACGTTTCGTGGTCCACCCTGTATAACCTGCAGTAGGTTACGTGTCATTCGCGACAGATCCGTTTGTATAAGATTAACGGATACCTTGAACGTATAGGAATTGTTTTCAGGTCGACGAAGTTGGATAGGTCACCTGACGCGTGTAACGTGTGATTTTCTATCTCGTGGGATCTCGGCGGGAAAGGTGTGTACGTTCGAAACAACAAAAGAGACAACCGACGTTCCACGGGACTACTCAAATTCCACTTCAAACATTCCACTCGGTCGTGTCTATAGAAATCGTCAGGTACTCCGTAATTGCCTTGGTGCTCGACAGTGTACCTGACCGTAAGTTCCAACGAGGTCTGTCCAGCCGATCCTGTGTATACACAACAAGGGAATTTTAAAGGAGGAGTTTAGGGTCCACGAATGAAGCTTATTTCCAATTATACTGTCAATAGAATGTAATTCAGTTCAAACTGCACGAAAAAGTAAATAAATTTTCGGCCTATAACAACTGTTTGCGTGCATGTTACTGTCCACAAGTTTCGAGCACCCTTCTACAGCATTCGGGTCACTTTAGACCCAGAACCGTATTTATTTCTTTAATCCTATGAACTTTAAAATTTTTCCAACTTATACGATTGTACTTTTAACGTATACTAATTAGTAATCTATTATGCTGTCTTAATATAATTTACAGCTTAGGTTGTGTAATTTAAATTTTTTTTCCAAAATGGCGGTGCACCGATTGGAGGATGAACATTACCGAAGCTGCACAGTTTCCCGATTTTATGAAGAATAAATGTCTCTTTAAAGAATTCATTATCGGTATACCACACAATTATGCTTTTAATCCCGAACAAAATTTCTCTAAATCGCAGGAAAATACGGAGAAGCTAGTAATAAATGTTTCTTCTCAAAATCGTTTAACGGTACGTCTAATTATAATTGCTGTTTTTAATCCAAAAAAAAATTCTCTAAATTGCAGAAAAAAAACGAGGCAGCAATGAAACTAACTGCGTGCTCTTTCTCAGCATTACATTAAACATACAGCTGAAGGACTGTAGCAGGGTGAAAGTAACCCTACAAGCTCGTATAATCGACGTTGTGCTCCGAAATCTTTTTTCCGTTGAACAAATCTTGCTTCATCGTTTTAAGAACATCACGTACCGAGCCATAAAACATCAACTGTTGTCCGACTGGACCGCGAATCGCGGTCAATGAGATACCGATTTCCGTTCCTCCGGTGCAAGAACCATGGCGATCGGAGGGGGGGGGGGGTCAGTGATCAAAACTTAAATGTTGAACGTGACAATAAAAATCTATAGGATGTTTCGACAGTGCTGGGCTCGATCGTTTGGAATTAAAGTCCCCGTGAAGCAGAAGGGGGGGGTGGGGATCGGCCGTTATGAATATTCATGGGGCCCAGGCCTTTTGTCGGTAACCCGGACTCGGAAAAGCGAGACGGTCGGCGTCGTTCAAAGAGACGATCGAGGCCTCGAGTTTACCTAGGCACCGGTTTCTAGACGTGCCCCGCAAACCCCGGCCCCACCCCTCGACAAGATTTGTGCATTAGGGAAAGGTAAACGCGATTTTCGGGAACGTGAGCCCGCGTTTCCAATCCGTAAGCTGTTGCGCCCAACTAGGGGGACGAGTCGCGGCGGGATATCGAGCAGACTGGGCCTTAATGATCTTGAATTTTCATAAATCTTTTTATGCAATTTGATTATAATTTTAATCGTTTATAGTGGACCCGATATGGTTACGTGTATCTCACCAATACAAGAAAAGTGCTTTTCACTAGTGAAAAGCATGTTATTTTCCGGGTGAGCGAAAAAAAAAAACATGATTTATTACGTAGCATTTTATATGTGCTGTAAATTCTTTGGTAATAGTGAAATATAAAGTGTAATATAAAATAAGAGGAAACAGTCAGTTTCTTTAGTTTCGTGACTTACACTTTCGCATTGCACATAACAAAAAACAGTGTCAAATTCCACGAACTAACAAAACTACAGTGATCTGTACAATTCTTTAACCTCTTGAGGGATACTGGCACACGTTGAATTGTACGATCAGTTTTTCTTTCATTCAAGCATCATTCCAAAATTGTAATTAAATATTCACTAGGAAATTCCCTAATCAAACAGTGTAGGTACTTCACCGATTGATTGTTGTTAATATTTACAAATATCTTTTAATTAAGTACAGCCGAAAAATAAAAATATTTTTTCTGATCTTATCAAATCCGTTCCTGAAGAGTGACACTGTTATTCAGGTGGTTCCCGTATTTTGGAATCGTGTTAGAGTCGAACAGTGTTACAAGAAAACGCCGTGTGTATTACTATGCAATTTGTAATTTCATTTAAACTATTTGTAAAAAAAACTAGCAGCGAGTCTTCAACAATTTTTGAACGACGATCTACGTGTAAGAAACGATTGTATATTTTCAACGACAGGTCGCACAGATCGAAAAATCACTCGGTTTATTAACATTTTCCCATCGCAAACTCGCCCCCCCCCCTTCCCTCGTGTGCTCGTTGTCGGAGCGACCTCGAATCACGACGGGAAATTGAACGTCCCTTTAAGGCGTCTCGGCGGCCGCGAGGGCACTGGTTGGATTCGCGCGATTCTAAAGAACTCCCGGAATGCCAGGCTCGAGTTGTAGCTTTCGTTTGCCGCGCGTGCAATATTTAATAGTCCAGCTTCGCAACAGTCAGGGTCTTCTCAGTGAACCCCACGCGACCGACCTCCTTCCGCGGCGAGTCCGCTTGTCGGGGAATGAAGTCGTGAATTCTGTGATCTCAAATCGAGAACCGTGGAGAGGATCCGTAGAGACGGGGCGAATAAACGAAAAAGAAATCGCTGGGAACCTAGCTGGTGGAATTATCCGAGTATTTATATGTATGTATTTTGCTTCCTCTGTTTCGATAAAAAATTATCGAGTGTGTAAGAATTCTTTTTTTTATATTATTCACAGACAGTTCAGAGGAAGTTCTCTCTGTGTTTTGATAATTTTAGTATCCCCCGAGTGTTTTGACACTTGAGCAGGAAGATTGTTCGACTTTATTCTAGAGATGAAGTGTTTTTAATGATAATCCGTGGATCCTGTTTTTTTTTTCGACACACCGTATATGGGATAACGTTCTTCTTTAGAAACTTTTGTCTGTTTTATTTATTAAGATTCTTTATGCCATTCAATCTTTTGCTTACGTATCTTGTTAGACCGTTCTTTCTCGTCCTTAGTCGCCGGAGGCTTAAACCGCGTGTCCACTTGAGAGTAGATTGTAGAAGATTATACTTTTGAAAGTCGAAAGGACAGTTGTTTGAGAGCAATTTATCGAAGATTTGTTCTTACGTTTGAAATTAGAGAAGAATTCACTCTCGGAAAATGACGTTATGCGGAGATGTAGCTTTAGTATGGCATCAGAGAATGATTTTGCAATTTCTATTATTTTCAAAGAAATATCGCTTCTAATCGCTAAAACTTAAAGGAGATCATTCTCAAGTGATCATAAGGGTTACAGCTACTCCGGAGAGTAATTACTGGCAATTATTAAAATTTTTCTTGCATATAAATAACTCCTCCGGTTTCTAACCATATACCCGACAAAAGTTCTGGCAAACATACAGTGGAGAAATTACAGTTTCACCATAAACTTATTACAGCCACAGTGAATCAATAAAAAACAACAATACATACAAAATAAAAATCTAAATTCCAATTACTGTAATTTGTAATCTTTATTGTAAATTCGGTATAGTTAATTACAATGTAATTAACTGATTATAATTGGATTGTATACTACTGGAATTTAGATTTTGTAATTAGATTACATTTCACCAAACTCTGCAAACTACCAACTAAATAAACCACAACATGAAATCAGCTTCCAAAATCCCCGATCCACACTCCACCCTCCAGACTCGCTCCCGCGTGGACACGCAGCCTAACCGGCTCGGAGCTCGACTTGTAACACCGTGCCCGCGAGCCTATCTCTATCTCGCGATTGAACCGGGTATCACAAAGAGGTATGCGCCGTGAGAAGCTCGTCCCGTGGACAAAGGGGAAGAAAAATGGAAACGATTCGTCGTCGTCGTCGTCGATGAACGAGCGGATCCCGAGCGTTAAAGCGGTCCGTTGCCCGTTCGAAAAATTACACCGACAAACTTTATACGCCTCTCTCTTTCTTTCTCCCTTCCATCCACCTTGTACACCTTCACGCCCCTCTCGTTCTATCTTCCTTTCTCTCCCATCCCTCTATCTCTTTCTATCGCACGTACTGGCTCTTGTGAATCGAATTAGCCGCGTGCTTCCCCGGGCATTAATCCGAGAGGTTCTTCGGCCCCTGGCCGCGAGGTAAATACCTGCAGGACGGGCGGCGAGCGGGAGCATATAGCCTGCTGCTTGGCGGTCAGGTGCACGCTCTTGCAGCTCTTTTCGGCGCTCGCCGGCCCGATCACACCCGCGCCGATGATCTGAGGCTGTCCGTCGACTACGCCGCCGCCTCCGACGCCGCCGTTTCCCTGGCCCGATCCGCCGCTATTCAGCCGGGGCTCCACTCCCAGGTACCTGGAACAATCCCGGAAGCGTCCGTAGCGTTATTATCCACGGTTCTGCACGCCGACGATCCCCCTACCCCCCACCTTTCCACCATACCACTCTTAATCGTCGATCTGCGCCGATATTTCGATCGAAGGACGGTTCGTTTCTTTTTTTACGTTTTAATACCACGGAAGTTTAACGATTCGACTCGAATATGCGTATTTCGGAACTGTTAAGTTGGTTTTTTTTTTTTTTTGTTGGAGAGTTTTCGAGATTCGTGGATTGATTGATGCGGAAATTAAATGGGATTTCCTTGAATTGGAGGTCAAATTGGGAGCTGGTTGTGCGGATTTATGATGTTAGGTGAATAAAGTTAAGGATTCGATAAATCTCTGCGGATTTACCGCCGATTTGTTTATGACTCGTTTAGTGGGAATTACTGTAATGAACAATTTCACTGCCTATTGTTGTTCGAATAAAATTCTGCACAGCTGTGTTTAACCTTCAGGGAATAGGGGAGTATTCCTGTCGGGACACTGGGAAAACTCGAAATTCAGTGCAGTGCACTTTTTGACTGAAAAGACTACCTTAAAGAAAAGGGTCGATGGCAAGGTTGAGTTCCCTAACACTGAAGCCTGAAATAAAATATTCATTTAACATAAATTTTTCTCCCTTGTACATAATTTTCGTGTGGTTTTCCCCCGATTGCAACAACGCACAACAGAGAATAGTATATACTCAATTTTACTTTTTTTCTTTTCGTCACGTATGTTACACCTGTTACGAAACAGCTCGCAACTGACCGCGCGACCGTCCTCCTCCACTTGCCCAACAGGCGCCTCCGTGTACCATTCGAAGGTCAACACGGAATTCAATGGAATCCCCGTAAAAAAAAAAGCCTCGAAGGGACAAGGGACACCGCAATGTTTCATTGCGTCGAGGCGGTGCGACGCGATCGGGTGAAAGTCCCCCTCCACGCGTTGTATAGTACACAGAGAAAGCGTGTCAAATTCAATTCACCGGCAGATGCCCGGATTAACGTACGGGTGGCCGTGGTTCGATAGAAAGGCGGTTCTCGATTATCGAATTTATTTAATGCCAGCCGTCTAATAAGTACCTGCTATAGGAGAACCTATACTCTTCCGCCGCGAGAGCTATCGACAGGACGCGAGAAAATATTCGATCCTCTTCGCCTTAACCCTTTACCTGTCCCCGTTCCACTTCGACGTTCAACCACCGTCGCGCTGAGAAACGTCGTCTGTTGGTATATGATTTTGTGTATTTCATCGATTTCAAATTACGCTAGATAATTCTTAATATTACGAAACGATTGTTCGAGGAAATAGGGAGAGAAGTCCTGTGGAATAAATGGTTTGTCGAACGATCGATCTAAGAGAACCAAAGTTCGATTTTTATATCGTAAACAGATTAGGAATAAAGTGATTTTGCAAGATGGATGTTTATTGCATGCAAGATTGCATAAAAATGTGAATAAATATTGCCATCATTTTATTCGACAAGAATAGATGAAACGATATTATACTGAAAAGCAATTCTACTAAAGTAAAGAATTCGTAAAATAATCGATAATAAATTCGATAAATAAAAACCTAATGAAGCCAAAAGTCTATACCACTTTATCAATATTAACGCTGAACCTTGTCCACTATTTTACACTTTTCTTTACCACGAAAAATGTCGGACTTTTGAAAAAAGAATAAAAATAAATTGCATTCAATTTATTAGCTTAAAAATATTATTTTGCATAGATTCCAGTGTTGTAAAAATTACTTAAAAAAATGTTTGTCATAGGATTAGAATGAGAATTAAGGAGAAAAATGCGAGTAGATACGTTAGACGAATAGAAAATCGAAAAATTTCATGTCGATCAACCCTTTGAACATGGTTGTCCTCGGATTTTCTGCCGTCGTTAGTCGAACGATACCAGTTCGCGGGGACGGCTTCCCCTCCCTCGTCCCGGTTTCTTCCCCACCGTCATCTCGCTTACCCTAGCTTGCCCTTCGTCCTTTTCCCCTCTATAATTTTCACTCGAATACCTGCTCTAATTATAGGTGGTTCGTCACGCCGAATGTTCCTTCTGCCGTGATCTCCTCGGTAGCCTTACGTGCTCCTCCGGAGGCGGACCGTGCATCGTTCCCGGAATATTTCATTGTAAAACGCGATTCGCGAACACCACTCACGACCTTCTAACTCGTTCAGCACCGAACCAGAAACGAACTAATCTATATTTTACAATTTTTCTTTGGTGCACATTTTTGTTTCGATAAAAATAAAACGCGTATGTAAGAGTACTTATTTTTGGGGTTTTTTACATTTCATAAAAGTCCATCGATTTTATCATTTTTTATATACTCGTATTTAATCTACTTTGGTTTTAGAGGATTGTTACACCGCAAGCTTAAGTTTACGATTTTGAATGAGCGTATAAATGTTTTTTATTTCAGTTCCACGAACTATACGTGATTATGGGATTATCAGACTGTAGACGTTTAAGGAAATTCGAAATTGTATAGGTTGATTGACAAAAGCAGATATCGAAGGGAAATTGTTAACATTCCTTGGAGGTTTTATAAGTTGAAAATAGAAGCGATTTATTAAAGACTCACCAGGATTCTTATTAGATTCTGCTTTAAACATTCGGTATCTTCATGCGATTGAACAAAATTTGTTTCCAATAACCTAATACTTTTGCCGTGTATAATATTCCAAAAAAATGGAAAAAGGTTTTGCTAGATCTCGTGGAAGATCCAATCAGTTGCTTGAAACACGATTTAAGATCGTAATTAATTACGTCAATATCGACACGGTCGTTTTCCACGATTAGTCTGTTCGTCGAGTCACGTACCACGAGTGGAATGGATCGTCGGAAGGAGTCAGCTGTAAGAGGAGATTCTAAAGGAGTCGGAGCGGCGCGGCACCGTGTTCGTCCGGCTGTTCCTAATCGACGTCGCCGCTCTGAAAAAGCGGCTGCATCATTTTATATTATTTTCGACGAGGGGTCCGGTATGGTAGCCCCCGTCCGGACATAGGTAGCGCTCGTTTAGGCGGTAAATCTTAATGAGAATCAAGGGTGTGGCCTTGGCTGTCTCGGAAACGATGATTGCAACCCCGTGGGCAACGTTCGGAACGATCGTCGACCGTCAGCCTACACGTACGACACACGGTGTTGGATAAAGAAAACGGCCGATCTCGTGTGCTCAGTCTTCGTGGACTTTTAATACAGACTGGAGGAGGATCACGAATTTATGAGAAGAGGTCGCTGGAGTTGAAAGAATATTTAATGATATACTCGATTTATAATCGAGGAGAATCGATTTAGATACTTGGTGATTAAGAGATTTCAGTAAAGAAAATGGATTGAATTTTACATTGAACCGATCGAATTAACTCACTCGTTGTTATTTGGAAACAATTTATTTTGAGGAAACAATTGCATTTTCAGAACATCTATGGATTCTAGACGTTCTAGATTTTCAAAACATTTAAATTGTTTCAATGTATGTAAAGTATTTGAGGTATTCAAGACTTTCAAACCTTTTAAGATATCGAAGACTTTCAAAACCTCTAAAGACTTTCATACCTTTCCAGGTATCCAAGACTTGTAGGATTTCCAATCAATCGAGACAATTTCAACCTTCAACCTTTCAAACCTTCCAAGGTATTAAAGACTTTTGGGATTTCCAACCATTCAAGAAATTAAAAATTCCCAAAACTTCCAAGACTTTCAAACCTTTCAAGATATCGAAGACTTTCGAAACCTGTCGAGACTTTCAAATTTTTCAAGGTATCCAAATCTCCAAACTCCCCGAAGCAATTCAAACCTCCGAAGACATCCCATACATCCAGAACCTCAACGAAATCGTATCTTCGAAAAATTTCAAACGCTTGAGTACATTCAAAACTTTCCACACCACTATACAATTCAAGAACATCAAATCTCGACTACCACCCAGAATCCACGAAATTCAACCGGTTCGAAACCTTCGAAAAGACCGCACCGAATTCCCAGTCGCCAGGTGTGCGCATCGCCTAAACCGTCGTCGTCCTCCGTAGGAGCGGCGCTCCTCGCGGAACGGTTTCCGAGTACGTGTTACATATATCGGGTCCTGTCCCGCGAGGAAATCACATGAGTCATCTAACGAGGCCGGCCCCGGCTATCAGGTATTCGGGCGTTCCTGGCAACGGCGTAGGAGCAGCCACGTTTATTATTTGTTTGCGGTCGAGAATACCGCTGGGGCCAGGGGGCTCTTCGACGACGACGAAAGGCCCGACTTCGACAGTTATTTCGGGTTTGTTTGGCCACGGTTTACGGTTCTCTCTTCCAAAAGAGAAAGAGGGAGAGAGTGCCCGGTTTTATTGGCGTAACCCCCTCCCCCCTTCCACGGTGTGGCGACTGATCTTTCAGGCTCCCACCAGGGCGTTATCTTGTGTACTCCGTTCAGAATTGTCGTGGTCCCCGAGAATGGGCCGACCTCCAAGGGATTAGGCCAGGAAATCGACGTTTCGCCAGTTGGAGAAATTCTCCACGCGCGAGTACGATCATCCTACCCCCAAGAGAGCATCGATGTTTACGATCGGGATCAGCCATCGGCCAAACAGTCGAGACACCCGCGACCACTATCCCTAAAACGTGTTGATGGTCGCGCAATATTGCAATCAATACGTGGTTTACACATCGTGGTTCAGGGTGGACGAACGGTCGATTTCACCGTTCAACTTTTCATACCCCTCCCCGCGTATCCCTTCTAAAAGGGGGGAAAAGGTGGCAACGGTCCGTCGGTTAAGGCGGTCAAGGACAGCTCGAGTGGAAGATGAGGCGATGGAGGATCTATTCGGACGGGGGATGAAGCTGATGAATTCATTCGGATGTTTCGTACGATGAGTCGCGTGATCTGGATGTTGTGTGTTTGGATACCGGTGGGAATTTCGATTTTTGAGGGGGTTTTGAGTGACTCTTTTGTGCTGCGTCGAGGATTTGGTAGCTTCGAAAACTATTTTGGTAGATT